CACACTCTGCACTTTAATTTGAGGCTATTCTCATCACAACTGGAGGAAAGGTTAAGGAATTACAGCTCTTTAATATGTACCGCTCCCTTTTTCAAGGAACCATAAATAATTGGACAATTGACTCAAAAGCTGTTTCATGGAGATGTGTGGGCTATTTGTTATTTCTACACCAGTTAAGCAGGTAAAAGGTCTGGAGTTGATTTTAAGCGTGCCATTTGCATTTGGAAGCTGTTGCTGTGAACCCACATCATGCGGTCAAAGGATCTCTCCATGCAGGTGAAACAGACAATTATTAGGCTGCAAAAACAAAACAAATCCATTAGAGAGATAGCAGGAACATTAGGAATGGCCAAATCAACTGTTTTTTTTACATTCTGAGAAAAAAAGAACGCACTGGTGAGCTCAGCAACATAAAAAGGCTTGGATGTCCACGGACGACAACACTGGTGGATGATCGGAGTATCCTCTCCATGGTAAAGAAAAACCCTTTAAGCACACTTTTTTGGGAGTTATTCCATAACATTTAGTTTTTATGTACCACTGTTCAGAACTGTGCTAGCTAACCATGTGTTGATTAGCATCTTTGAGCTTAGTTCAGATTTATCTAAAATGCTGTGAACCCACATCATGCGGTCAAAGGATCTCTCCATGCAGGTGAAACAGACAATTATTAGGCTGCAAAAACAAAACAAATCCATTAGAGAGATAGCAGGAACATTAGGAATGGCCAAATCAACTGTTTTTTTTACATTCTGAGAAAAAAAGAACGCACTGGTGAGCTCAGCAACATAAAAAGGCTTGGATGTCCACGGACGACAACACTGGTGGATGATCGGAGTATCCTCTCCATGGTAAAGAAAAACCCTTTAAGCACACTTTTTTGGGAGTTATTCCATAACATTTAGTTTTTATGTACCACTGTTCAGAACTGTGCTAGCTAACCATGTGTTGATTAGCATCTTTGAGCTTAGTTCAGATTTATCTAAAATTGTCACTACCGAAACAGTCACTACCGAAACATTTGGTGGAGTTTCTGTAGTGACATCTTTGTTTTTGGGGGGTGTTATCCCATAGAATTGCCACTACCAAAACAGTCACTACCAAAACATGTCATCATTGTTTCGGTCGTGACAAAAGATAACACATAATCCTCATATTTGGGGGAAATAAACAAAATTTTAGTACAGTTATGCAATTTTTTTGTATTTTAGTATGTTTTAGTATGCGAGTTAAAATTCGGTAATGTGATGTGGTTGCTACCGAAGCATTACTGTCACTACCGAAAATGTGCTGTCACTACTGAAACATGGGATGTTTTGTCAAAAATAAAGTATACTGAATTATCAACTAAGATGTTATGATGAATCTGATGAATCCTTAACTTTGAAATCAGTATGATCACGGCCTTTTACAAAGAAAAATTGGATTCAAAATACAACAAATCTCATTAATTACACGAAATATTGTTAAAAATGTAATTGTTATGGATTTACCTCTCAAAATATTTTTGTAAAATAGCAAAAAATATATATTTACAATCTAGAGGTAAAAATATCTTAATAGGTCAATATAACCCTTCTAATTAAATTATTATTACTGTGTTTCGGTAGTGACAAATTTGGGGTTAGGACAAATATTCCAAAACTTTCTTAAAATACAATATGAGAATTAACAGCACATTTACTAGAAATGTGTAACTTGGATATTTGCATATATACATAAAAAAATACATTATATATATACATATATAGATATATATTGTGTGTGTGTGTGTGTGTGGAGCTAAGCACTGAGAACCTGAAAGACACTTCAAATTTTGTCACTTGATGAGGAGATACTACTTTATTTGTGTGATCAACTGTACATGAAACACATTCTTAGACTTTTCTTGGCCTGTTTTATCCTTTGCCAATGAAAAATTATATATTTGTTGTTTAGGTTTTGATATTCAAACATTTAGCTTTTCTGAAGCTGAAACTACAAATTGTGACATGCTGATGTATGTTCATGCCTCGTTCAAGGACAAGGCTGTCTGTAGATTCTGGAACTGACACAAGGGATGCCCAACACTTCTGCTGGTCCCCAGTCCAGCATTTGCACAGTTTCCTGCTATTGAAATGATGCATTGTGTTCCTGAGACATGTGTTTCATCTAGTGGCAGTGCACAATTGAGAGTCTTGTTTTTATGTGTTCAGTGGAATGGTTTTGTTGGAGGTCTTGTGTGCAGCAGACAATGACATAGTCTGTTTTTCACTGAAAATGTCTCCCTGACCTTGATGGTGTTTGTTTTAAGGGAGCCCCATGGGGAGCACAGAACAATGGCCATAAAACATCTTACATGTTTCACTGTGTCTCAGCACAGGCTTCAAAACATTTCTGAGTTGTTTTCATGTCAGTTTTCTGGGTTTTTGCTCCTTAATAAAATCTCTAACACTCCATGTGACAATGTTTGCTTTGGTAATATTATGCTATAAATAATAAGTTTCAGAAATTTTGTGTACATGATATTTGCTATAAATACATAGCGAATAGAATACACAGTAAATTCCCGAGTGTTAAATTAACACTGCTCAGAGCATATATGGTCCCACTCTAAAAGAGTGTTGTGGCTGAAGTCAGTTGTAATTCTTGTTTCTCTTTTCTTCAGTGATTCTGCTTGTTAACAGCAGGTGTTCATCACTAACGCACAATCAGCACTTAATTAATCACATAATTATCTCATTAACTTTAACAGTGCTTCAGTGTTACTTTAACACTCTTTTAGAGTGGGACCATATATGCTCCGAGCAGTGTTAATTTAACACTCGGGAATTTACTGTGTAGCAGTGAAATGCCATTAAAAAATTATAGTTTTAAAGTAGACTTTAGTGCATATTACAGAAATACTATACTGTAAAAAGAATATATATATAAGTGCAAACTGAATGTAATGTTTTTGGACAATTAATTGTGCATTAATTGCAATTAAATGAAAGTGTATCATAATTTACATTTATTTTAAATACAACTGCTGAATTATTATTTAACACATTATTTAACCAAATTGAGTAAAGATTTGCTTTACAATTATAAAAATTTACAAGTGCACATTCAATACAATTAGGCACACTTT